AGGCAAAAGCCGGATTCTCTGAAGTAGGGCGACGTAGGGCACTAGGGTGAAGTTCGGAATACGAAGAGTATTTGAGTTGAAAGTATAAATTCGAGAAAGATATATTTTGGGTCAAAGTAGGGGCGTTTTTGCAAATGAAACAGAATTGGCTTTATGAACTTATTAGAGAGTACAAGTCACGTGAGCTGCGTGCTGCGCTCTGACCGATTTAATAACATCTTGTTTTGATGTTTATGGGGGCTTCTTGGCAAACACTCAAGTCTCTCTGGCTACTCGCTCGAATGCAGCAGCTGCAATGAGCCCTTAGCTTTCTTCTACCTTCATTTCTCTGCAACACAGCTTTGGGCCCTCTGTTTTTTCTTTTGTTCAATATCTCTCTGTGTTTCATGGCGTCGAAAAAGCCTCTGTTTTTCGTACTCTTAGCCTTTCAGTGTTTCTTCCTACTCACCACTGCCATTGTTGACCAAAATGAGCAGAGCCCAGAAAGAGAAGCCCTGCTTTCTTTCAAGACCGCACTCGAAAACCCTGAAGTTCTCTCTTCATGGAGGCAATCCATCCCACACTGCAACTGGGTCGGCGTCTCTTGCCAACTCGGCCGAGTCACTTCACTCGCCCTCCCAACACTGTCACTCAGAGGCACACTCCCTCCCTCGCTTTTCTCTCTCCCTAACCTCACCGTCCTTGACCTCTCCTCGAACCTCCTCCACGGCCAAATCCCACCTCAGATTTCAAAGCTTCCATCTTTAGTTTCCTTGGACATATCCAACAACTCTCTCTCTGGTACTCTTCCACCTGAAATTGGTAACTTAAAGAATCTGACCGACCTCTACATTGGCGCTAACCATTTTTCGGGTCCATTGCCTCGTGAAATCGGTGACCTTTCACGGCTAGAGAATCTTGATTCTCCTTCATGTTCCATAACCGGTCCATTGCCTGAAGAGTTATCCAAGTTGGAATCACTGAGTAAACTTGACCTCTCATACAACCCATTGAGATGTTCCATACCGAAAGCCATCGGGAAGTTGCAGAAGTTGAGTATTCTGAATTTAGTCTTTGCTGAACTTAATGGCTCTGTCCCTGCTGAGCTGGGAAACTGTAGGAATTTGAAGACTTTAATGCTTTCCTTCAATTCGCTTTCTGGGTCGCTACCAGAGGAGCTTTCTGAGCTTCACCTTTTGACGTTTTCTGCTGAGAAGAACAATCTTTCCGGACCATTGCCTCCCTGGCTCGGAAACTGGCATCAGGTTGAATCAATTTTGCTTTCGAGCAATTCGTTTTCTGGGAAAATCCCACCTGAGATTGGGAATTGTTCTACGCTTAGGTCCCTTAGTTTGAGCAGCAACAGGTTGTCGGGTCCAATTCCAGAAGAGCTCTGTAATGCGGTCTCGCTCGTAGAGATTGATCTGGATAGTAATTTCCTCTCAGGAACGATTGAGAACACGTTTGTGAAGTGTAGGAACCTTACTCAGTTGGTTTTGGTCAATAATCAGATTGCTGGGCCAATCCCTGGTTACCTTTCAGAGCTTCCACTGATGGTGCTCGACCTTGATTCAAACAATTTCACGGGTACAATACCTACAAGTTTTTGGAGCTCGGTCAATTTGATGGAATTTTCAGCTTCTAATAACCAGTTGAGGGGTTCTCTATCAAAGGAAATTGGTAGGGCAGCTGCATTGGAAAGGCTTGTTCTTAGTAACAATCAGTTGACAGGCACTATACCTAAGGAGATTGGAAATCTCAGTACCCTTTCTGTTCTTAACTTGAATTCAAATCTTCTTGAAGGAAACATTCCGGCTGAGATTGGCCGGTGCACAGGACTTACGACATTGGAACTGGGAAACAACCAACTCAGTGGCTCTATTCCGGTGGAGATTGAGGACTTGGCTCAATTGCAATGCCTGGTACTTTCTCATAATAAGCTGTCTGGATCAATTCCTTCAAAGCAATCCTCTTATTTTCGGCAAGTTACTATCCCTGATTTGAGCTTTGTTCAACATGTTGGAGTGCTTGATTTGTCCTACAATAGACTGTCTGGCACAATACCTGAAGATTTGGGTAACTGTGTTGTTCTGGTGGATCTGTTGATCAGCAACAACATGCTGTCTGGGGGAATTCCAAAATCCCTCTCTCGCTTAACAAATCTTACAACCTTGGATTTGTCCGGCAACATGCTCAGTGGTTCCATTCCTCCAGAATTTGGTGAATCCCCCAAGCTTCAAGGCTTGTATCTTGGAAATAACCAGCTTACAAGCACCATGCCTGGAAGCTTAGGTCGTTTGGGAAGTTTGGTAAAGCTTAATCTGACTGGCAATAAGTTATCTGGTGCTGTGCCTATAAGCTTTGGGAACTTGAAAGGGCTAACCCACTTAGATTTAAGCTTTAACAAGCTGGATGGGGAGCTCCCTTCATCTCTTTCAAGCATGCAGAATCTTGTGGGGTTGTATGTTCAGCAGAACAGGCTTTCTGGTCGTGTTGATGGGCTCTTCTCAAATTCCATGGCTTGGAGGATTGAAAATATGAACTTGAGCAATAATTTCTTTAATGGGGAGCTGCCCCTTTCTTTGGGAAATCTGTCATACTTGACATATTTGGATCTTCATTCAAATTTGTTTAGAGGAGAGATTCCTCCAGACCTGGGGAATCTGATGCAACTGGAGTATTTTGATGTTTCAAGTAACAAGCTCTCTGGGCAGATTCCAGAGAAAGTATGCAGCCTCAACAATCTGTTTTACTTGAACTTTGCAGAGAATAGGTTGGAAGGGCCGATTCCCAAGACTGGTATTTGCCAGAATCTGTCGAAAATATCACTTGCTGGTAATAAAAGGTTGTGTGGGAGAATCATGAATTTGGATTGCCAAGTCAAAAGTTTTGATAAGTCAGCTTTGTTGAATGCTGGGGGAGTTGCAGCTATTGTGGTTGGCAGTGCTCTGATAATTGTTGTCGTAGCTTTAGCTTTAATAAGATGGGTTACCAGAAGCAGTCGTCATGATCCTGAAGAAACTGAAGAAAGCAAGTTAAGCAGTTTCTTAGATCATAATCTCTATTTCCTCAGTAGCAGCAGATCAAAGGAACCTCTGAGCATCAATGTGGCCATGTTTCAGCAGCCACTTCTGAAGCTAACTTTAGCTGATATACTTGAAGCCACCAACAATTTCTGCAAGACAAACATAATTGGAGATGGAGGCTTTGGAACTGTGTACAAGGCCACTTTGTCCAATGGGAAAACAGTTGCAGTTAAGAAGCTAAGCGAGTATAAAACCCAGGGACATCGAGAATTCATTGCTGAAATGGAAACCTTGGGTAAGGTAAACCACCAAAATCTCGTTCCATTGCTTGGGTACTGCTCTCTTGGTGAGGAGAAGCTCCTTGTTTATGAGTATATGGTGAATGGGAGCCTAGACATTTGGCTGAGGAATCGAACTGGAGAACTTGAAGTCCTGGATTGGGACAGACGTTTTAAAATTGCTTTGGGTGCAGCCCGTGGCCTGGCGTTTCTTCATCATGGTTTTATTCCCCACATCATTCACAGGGATATTAAAGCCAGCAACATCTTGCTCAATGAAGACTTTGAGCCAAAGGTTGCAGACTTTGGACTTGCAAGATTGATCAGTGCTTGTGAGACTCACATTTCAACTGACATTGCAGGAACATTTGGCTACATCCCACCAGAGTATGGACAAAGTGGGAGATCTACGACAAAGGGAGATGTCTATAGCTTTGGTGTGATAATGCTTGAATTGGTGACAGGGAAGGAGCCCACTGGACCTGACTTCAAAGAGATGGAAGGCGGGAACTTGGTTGGTTGGGTTTTTCAAAAGATGAAAAAGGGGCAAGCTGCCGATGTTCTGGATCCAATCGTACTCAATGCGGATTCGAAGAGCAAGATGCTTCAAGTGCTGGACATTGCCCGTGTTTGCGTTTCTGATAACCCTGCCAGCAGGCCAACCATGCTTCAAGTGTTTAGTTCCTTGAAGGGATCAAAGACGAGTAAAATGTAGACTTGTCTATGTGGTGGAGAGTGTAATAGGTTTGTTGTTGTTATGACAACAATGATGGTAATGTAAAGTAGTTAGCAAGTGGTAGGACTTGTAAGTTGTAATGCTAATGCTATATTAGTCTGCTAACCTAATCACAAGCCAGAATTTCAATACTCCTGCTCCTGGTGACCATGTTTGGCTTCATTTCTTCTTTCACATTAAGCTCATAAAGGTGTTATCAGAGTAGCATTCATAGCTTCATTTCTTCCTTCACATTAAGCTCATAAAGATTATCATAGTATTCATAGTAACAAACAATGTGTATGTTGATGAACAAAGTTATCTGCAAATTCTTTCCATGCAAAGCAAAATTGAAGTTTGAACAGCTTCAAGTCCATCTCAGCCTCACCCCAATTTGGAGAAACACTTCAAAATTCATAAGGTCAGGATGAAAATGGTAAAAGCAGTCAAAAAGAGGCAGCCCTCTTATCTGTGGAATTTAGGGACGGCAGCAAAAGAAGAAGAGTGCAATACACTTTTCCAAGAGGACGGCCGCATAAATGCTCTTTAAAACAAAGACTTGGGAAACGAATAACCATCCGTCCTAAGAAGATACCATGAACCTATGATCAAACCTAGTCTTACTGGAAATTAACTAATAGCCACACAATTCCATAAATTCCCTATTTCACCTTCTTTTTTTCTTTTTCTTTTTCTTTTTTGGGTCTGATAATTGACTATTCCCTTGCTTGGTGGGAAGTGGGAAATATTTGATCAGATCACATGCGCTTTAGCATGCACAGCACCATATGCAATAGCAAAAGAAACCATTAAAAAAAGGTTTAGAAAGTCTATGAAATTTCTTCAAATGGGTCCCTAAAGGTTGACGACGCACGTGAACCCATTTTTAACACGTGCCTCAATATCCTTGTAAGTAACGGGGTTTCAACTTCCACCCCATACAGTTCCCACTCTAGTACCATTCCATCTAACATCTAAACGTAAATGCTAACTAATCAATAATCAATTACACACCCTCTGATTAGCCATGTGACGCTGATTCAGCCACGGCGTTTCCTGACGATCCACATCTAACGGCTCTGATTTAACGTCGCCACCACCACTCGGTTGCTGCAGTCGTAAGCCGGTCTCGTCCTCCTCTACACCGTCGCCGACGGTCTCTCTTGCTCGCTTGGCTCCAATCGCAACACCGAAAAGCTTCGGGCTCGCCTCCTCTTCTTCCTTCTCGCCGTCGCCGGAGAACCGCTTCTCAGGCATCAAATCCAGCGGTTTCACATATGGGAAACCGCTTTCCGATTGTGCGTACGCGTAATTCGAGACCATGCTGAAGATGTTGTTGCAGAGAGACTTGACTTCCGCCAGTTCCTTGGTGAGCTGCATGTTCTCCTTCCTCAGCTTTTCGTTCTCGTCCATGAGCTCGGACGGAGCTCTGATCGGCGACGAGCTCGACGAAATCACCTGCTCCTCCCCGGAGTTCGACGGAGATATCATAGGTTTCGCATTCGGAACCACCGCTGCCGTCGCCATCGGCGAAACGGCCACCGACGGCGCCGGAGGCATGATTCTTCGGCGCTGTATCTCGCAGAGAAGCCGCTTTTCACCTCTTCGAAAGCAATCGTTCGAGAATTCCCAACGGTCTGGTATAACCTTTCTAAATCCCTAAAAATCCAAAAAAAATCAAATAAATAACTGAAATATTCTTATTTTTATAAATTCAATCGGAAATTTAAGAAGACAAATAGAGGACTTACGTAGGTGTTGAGCTGCCTGACGAAGCTAGAGAAGTTGTTGTGCTTGAAATACTTGGGGAGCAAATCTCTGGCGAAGACGGTGGGGTTCCACACGACAAAGCTAGATCCGTCGTCGTTCCAGGAGATGACGTCGTCGATTGTGGGATCATCGACCAGCTGATACGTCTTGGTCAGAAATGGTGTCGGTAAAGCTCTATGGGATGACTCGCCGGATGTGGACTCACCGCCGTTCGGCTCCACCGACGTCGGAGCCATATCGAAAGTCACGCCTCTACCAAACTAATTAAAACAGAATCTAATTAAATATAAAAAGATGAAAAATAGAATCGAAATCAAAATTTTAGAAGATGAAAGATGAAGGCTCAGAAGGCGATGGAGCAAAACAGAGAGGGATAGAGTTGGAGGAATGAAGGTGAGGGTTGGTTTCGTAGTTCTAGAAGGTTCTTTGAGGAATTCAAAGGATTTATACGATCGATCGTATGGGAGAGAGAAAGTGTGAAAAAATAGAGGAAACCACACGAAACTCTTTATAATTTTCGAGAAACTTCCGGGGTCAGATTTTCTCGGTTGTGTATACGTGGCAACATATAAGAGGCCGGTAGTATTGCAAGTTTTTGTATGTATTCAAGGCAACAGTTATATTTTAATTTTATTTCCTTTCACAAAAAGGTTATTCTAATGAGTTTGAGGTTTAACTCTCAAATTAATTAGTGTGTTTTGAACTCATATATAGAAATTGTAAATCAATTTCATTTATGAGTTTTAATTAGTGAATATGGTGTTTTGAACTCGGGCGGCAGAGAACACAGATAGACACTACTAGCGAAATGGCCTAAAATAACTAGCTTTGCAGATGGAGACGTGGTTTCGACCATTTGCCAAGGCAATGAATCCCTTTTTTGTATTCAAATTCAAATGTCACTCCCCGTAAAGATTAATTTAGAATAATTTAAATTATTATTTATACTCTAATGAGTTTGAGGTTTCACTCTCAAATTAATTAGTGTGTTTTGAACTCATAGAAATTATAAATTACTTTCATTTATGAGTTTTAATTAGTGAATATGGTATTTTGAACTTAGGCGGGAGAGAACACAAATAGACATTACTAGCGAAGTGGCCTAAAATAACTAGCTTTGCAGATGAAGACGTGGGTTTGACCAGTTGCCACGGCAATTAATCCCCTTTTTTGTATTCAAGTTCAAATGTCACTTTCCGTAAAGATTAATTTAGAATAATTTAGACTATCATTTTTACTTTTCTAATAAATAAAAAATTGTAACTCTTTATTATAAGAGCATCTCCAATCGATATATCAAAAGTGCCACATAAACATTTAACAGTTAGAAATAACATCTCACATCACTCCAACCGATGTGTCAAAGCTGATGTGGAATGAAAGTTGGAGGTTAAGATGTTATTTTTGACATCCCAAAAGCAAGATGTCAAATGAATATTTTATTAATTTTTAAAGACAGCTGGTTGTTACTTTCATTTATTATTTTCTTTTTTTAATTTTTTTCTTCTTTATCATAAATGATTTTACTATTACAATAATTATTTATTTGATATATCAAAATGGAGTGTAAAATTATGTAAATGTCAAATTGCCACATCAACCATCAAGCTCTAATTATTCTAAAGAAAAGTACTGAATTACTAGTTGGCAAAAGGTCAAAGATGCGGACAGTGTCGTCACATGGTCTGGTTTCATTCTCACGCGTGGGGCAAAAACCAAGGAAAAAAAAAGATAAAAGCGGGTAAAGAAGCAAACAAGATTGACGTTAGCATTAAAGTAGTGTAAAATACTCTCTACCTATTTAGTCCAATCTCGCAAATAATTGATGCCACACCCACACCCACACCCACACCTATAAGATAAATTATAATTTTCCGTGGAACACATCCTGCATAAGACAGAAACAAAGTTTACTGTTTACCGACTACGACATAGGATTGGTGTATGTATGCATATGTGATGGAAGAGACAAACAAACATCTTGTGTAAATTTGACCCTTGTTTTGCACCGTTCAAGTACAAGTAAATAAGGTTAGCTGCCTGGTTTTATTGACGCTGTTGCTTTGAACAATTTACCTTTTGCTATGTATGTATGACCATGAACTTCCAAGTCGATTTCAAAATAGAAAAGACAACATAGTCCAATTTCAGCACGACATTCTTAACAACATTCTTAAAATATGGTTCTCTAATAATAAGTACAAGCCTAACATGTTTCATAGGATTCTTCACAAACATACCATCAAAAAACCAAATCATCAAACACACGAAAGGCTCCCAAAGAAAGGGTTTAAAGGCAGAGCAAACAAGAAGGGACTAATGAGAGAAATATAAAGCTTAAGTTTCCTTAATGTCCCCCTTCTTTTTTGCCAAGTTTCATGTAAACTGCAGTGGGAGTCCCAGTTATATGTGGAAATAGAATTTAATCTGTCATGCCTATGACTTCGGTAGAAGAGAATACAGTCATAGAACTCTAACATGCATTCCCTTTTTGCTCCTGATATGTTAGATGCAAATTGAACTACTGCATACATTCTATGAGTGTGAAATTTATATAACGACAAAATAAACAGAGGAGGTCAAGGATATACCCGATAATGTTTTCGATTCTCTCTTCCCCCTTCCTCGGGATGTAGAATTGCACAGGTTAAGTAATGAAAATTCCGTCACACGCACAACAACACTCTCACTCAAAATTCGTCGAAGGTCCAACTCTAGGATCAATCTTGAAGGTTGAGACAACAAATCAAAGTCATCAAGACATATACAAAACGCAGCGACGATATAGAAGAATGGTTGCTGAACTATAAATCGCCCAAACAAACATAACCCACCAAGCCATAAAGAGAGCCACTTCTTTCACAAAGGCAGAGCAAGGCACTAGACTACAAATGTATTTGTAATTTTCCGAAGAGATACCATCAATCTGAGATAGTCCAAGAAAAAGGAGTAACACAATTGGTGGTGCAAGAAACTGCACAACTACAAGGCATAAGTAGTGATTGTGCAAAAACACCTTAGCCCTACTGAAATCCAAGTCTGGAACCCTGCTAGCATGCAATCTTTGGTACCAAGATAACAGTGCCTCATTCAAATACATTTGTATGTTGGGGCGTAGAGCAACAATTTGCAGAAAACTCGAAAGCAGTAAGCAGCAAAGCCTAAATTTAGCAAAATCTGAAGGCGAAAATCCGACATTGCCAATCAACATCTCAGCATTTCCAACTTTTCCATTTATGTTCTTGTTCACGAGCATTCCAGCTAAGGGATTAATCCACAAAAGAACTGTGAATACAATCATCATATAATTTGCATACAGAACCACTCTACCAAACCAATCACATGATAGCATTACCAAATCAGACCTAATCTGATCAGTTCCAAGCCAAAAGCACCTCGCACTCTTCACCGCGGGCATAAACAAGAAACCCGAAAAGCATCCCATTAAAACAGCAACAAAGATCCTCCCAGACCCGTCAATTGAGTTAAAATTGAAATCTAAAACCGAAGGACTAAATGTGAAGCAAACCATATATCCTAAAACCAACCCCACAACGCCGCAAAGCACACTCAGTTGCTTCTCTGACCGCCGCGACGCAGATTTCTCATACGAAACTTTGCCAAGCAACATTAACAACTTAGAAACACCCGCAAAGCCTAACAGAACCGGAACAAATATCCCATTAACCAAAAGCCCAGAATTGTTTGATTCGCTATTCAAGTACAATAACTGAAGCAAAAGACAAGATAGAGCTACAAATGAGAAAGTGAAGGCATTGGAATACTCATTGAAATAGAGCCTGGTTTGAAGATGGGCCTCGTCGAGCTTTAGGCGAAAGATCTGAGCATTGTTTTCATCGAACTCGGGCTTGTCCTTTGACTTGGACCTCTTCCTGAGCTCGGAATTGGATTTTGAAGGTAACCCAGAAGCCGAATCGGAGGCATCGGGCCTCCGAATGGCGGCTCGGACTCCACTTTGGACGTTGTCAGGGTGGATGTAGGTGTGGAGGCCACGGAGGAAGAAGATGGGGATTTTGAGGAAGGTGAGGAGGAGTGTGAGTGTGAGAGAGAGTGAGAGTTGAAGTATAAGATTCTTGTAGGTGATGAAGAATTGGAGCATGGTTCTCTTCTCTTCTCTTAGCTTCTTCAATTCTTTCTGGGTATTTCAAAGACCAGAGAGTGTGGAGTTGTTGGGGACAGACAATGCTTAGAAGTTAGAGAGACACAATGTGGGGTTTGAGATCTTAAGGTTGGCTTGGCTTCTGATAAAGGTTGTTATACTTTGCTCTTTGTGTTCTCGAAATTGTGTTTTGCGGGCCTGTAGGCCTGTGGACATGTGGACCTCTGTGTATGTGGGCCTGTGAGCCTGTAGTCCTGTGGGTACTCTTTAACCTTCAAAAGGCAAGCAAGCAATTGAGGTAACATGTCATGCTCCGATTTGAATAGTCATGGAAGATTTTTCTGGGTCAAGTATGATATACTGAAGTACACGAATACCACACACTAATAACGCACGTGTAGTATATGCGGGTGAAGCCAATTGATCAAAGAAGTGTATCCGCTCTTCTTTGCACTCGAGTTTAATCTCTCTTATTATATTAGAATAGTTACCGTTTTGTCAAAAATAAAAAATTACCCCACATGAGTGAAGAGATTTTATTCATTGATATATGGAACAAAAGGAAATACAAAACTTGAGAACTGAATATTCATGAACAGATTAATTCCAATAAATACACAAAGGATTGAATCATGCAATGCTCTTCTTTGTGTTCATCAACCTAGAAAAACATCTATGATAAAACTCTCTCTCCCAAGTCAACATTCACCCCCAAATAAGCCACAAACTCTATCCTATCCAAAAAGATAAGATTGCTGCCGGAAGTATCAAGATTGAGTACTATTTATTGATCGATTCTTTTGTCTACTTTCTTCCTTGAAGGGTACCCAACCCAACCCAACCCAACCCATCACAGGGTCACTTCGGTGATTTGATCATGGATCGATCTCAGGCAACAAATCAATGCCAATATTGCCCCCTAAAAATCAACTACACCATCACAATCATTTTCCGCAAAGTCACAACTGCTGCATTTACTACAACGACTGAAATAAATTATAAACGAAAAACCCTACAATTAACATTACACAAGAATTGGATCATATCAATGGGTCATAGCTGATCAGGTACATTTAGGTGGTCTCTCTCATCTTTATCACCAACCGCTCTCATCTCAAACTGCGGGACCACCTGTGGGGATACAAATTAATTACATTATTATTAACTCTAAATCAACCCACTTCTCTTCTCTGAAATTAAAAAAAAGAAGAGATAGGCAAAAAGATAGCAAAATATCAATCCAGTCTGTCACATATTATTCGATTAATAATCATAATCGGATGGTGGTTACCAACTCATTCCTCATTGTCGTGTGAATTACCAACCTGATCTTGTGATGCATTGAACGGTTGAGATGAAAATCTCCTTAATCTTCTGTCTGCTCCGCCGTTAATTCTGCCGCCTGGACATAACATCATTAACAAGATAAGCTTATAGTTTTAGAGAAAATTACCCTTCTAATTTGAATAAGGTAAGAGCACAGAAATATCTCAAGGCATATTAGATCGGCATTTAAATTATATATTGTTGTGTGTGAACGAGGAGCTGGAGCCAAATTAAACGCACATTTTTCACGTTAAGCACAAGATTAAACTATTAAATACATTTATATATAAATAAAACTATAAAAAAAAACATATAATTACCTTGTTTTTTGGTTTTGTTGAGGGTTTTGAGATCTAGGGTTGAGTCTGAGGTGTCAGGCAAGTAACGGTCGAGACGAAGAAGGCGATGATCCTTCTTCTCAAACATGGCGCGCACAAACGATGCCTCCATGCTGTTCAAGAACTGCACGTGCTTCTCGTCCGTCCACGACCTCTTTTTACCGCTCTGCACGTGCGACTCCATCCTGATTTCTTAGTTTCAATATCTACTCGCCGGACGGAGTTTAGAGTTTGGAGCTTGGGAGAACAACCAGGCCGGAGCTAGCCAGAGGCTGTTTGAAAATCTGAAGGGATTGCTTGGTATGTTTAATGCATTCGGTTTCTAATGATAACATTATATGGAGCATATGCTATATATGCAGCTTTTATTATAGGTAGGGCGACATTTTTTTGTTTGTTGGAGGTTTTTTGACGTAGTTAGGAAGAGAGAGTATTCAGAAGTACCTACTCGCTGTCTTTAGCCGACATGTGTTTGGCTCACCATAACATGTCACTTTCCAAATATCCCGACTCGATCAACTCCAATATAATAATCTTAACCAAATTTATATTTTTCTTATCTCTACAATATCAGTTTGTTGTGAGATATTCTTCTGTGGTTGATAAAAAATGAAGATATTTTTCTTTGGCTAGATGGTTGAAATATAAATGAGTAAGACTGTCGATTCAATTTATACATTTATAAAAAAAGAAAAACAATGAGTCACGAATTGATGAAATAATATAAAACTTCAATCAACTAATTAATATGAGAATATTTATCCGAGTTTACTTATATAGTTGCATGTGTGCTTTTTAATACGAGTGATAGTCTAAATTATTGTGATCTACAAAGAAGACGAATCCAACCTGATGCAAAATCTAGAACACTATCTTGACAAACTAGCATCAATTAATGTTATGTGGGTGTCCTTAATACTTGAAGAGTGGCTCACCTTTAGCCTAGCTAGCATAGGCGCCTAAGGCCATCTCCAGCTATAGAGCTACATGTAGTCAAGGGCTACAAATTTAGTCCCCCAAAATATTAATTTTTTAAAGAATAGTGCATGACTAAATTTTTCCATCTCCAGCCATGCATGACTATATTTTAGAATATTTTATATTTTATCATTTTGAGAAAGGGAAGTGGGGAGTGCTTTAATGTTTGGTGGTTGAAAAACACACGGTGGAGCCCACTATGAATTTGGCCCGGTTGGAGGGCTAAAGGGCCAAATGTGGCCTTCTAAATTTGGCCAAAATTTTATTTAGCCCATGGCTGGAGATGAGTTTTGCATTATTTTAGAGCTATATTTGGGATATAGCCCATGGCTGGAGATGACCTAACAATTAGGCCTCATTTAATTCATGGGAAATGAGACTTGGGAATGAGAAATCAATTTTACTTTCCCATGTTTGATAAGTCCATAAATGAGAAATCGTTGCCTGACCTATGAGAAAGTAGAGGGAAAAGTGAAGTCATCCTCCCAATTTATGTTTTGTTTTCCCTCATCATGGGAAATTTTGGGGAAATCAACCAACATTAAATATACATTTTTCTTGACCATTTTGTCCCCATCAACAATTTAGAATTACAATATATTATTAAATGCTTTTTTTATTATTTAATTTAATATGTGTATAATTGAAATTTTGTACAAACTTTGTTTTTCATTCATACTCAAAACAAACATAGAAAAGGAAATAAAGTGTTATTTTCCGGTTACTTTCGCAACATTAGCAAATGTGGAAAAGGAATATTCCATTTTTCATCCCTTGAGAAATGACATGGGAAATAATTTCCTCTCAAATTCATTCCATGAACCAAACGGGACCTTAGATGATAAAAAACAAAAGTGTTCTAACAAGATTTTTTTTCAAGAGAAGGAAAAGATAGGCTATAACGTGAGTAGAAGGCGAGTATGGAAGTTTTTGTGCAGGCGAGGAGGTATAGAAATTGGGGCATGAGGGATAAAATATCTAAAGAACTCTTTTTGGTAAAACAAATATCTTAGAACTTTATACGATTTTTTTTTTCTTTCTCCGGTCAAATGAACTTTATTCGATTAGCATGTAAGCTCTGAGAGATATTTTGGGACGAACGAAGAATCTTCGAGACGCTTAGATATGTATGTATATATATTATATACAAAGAGTAGGAGGACTAAATACGAAAATATCTGCGCGAGTCTTTTAAGATATTAAGATGCTGACTGTACTTCCAGTTAGGGGTCCCTTGTAGGGTATTTATTTCTTGGGCATCAAAATCAAAATTAATTAATATTTTACCCAATTTTATTTTATGAATAGACTATTTAATAATGATTGGGCATCATTCTATATTTTCATAGTTTGAAAATCAAAAGCCTTAATTCTGACAAAAAATAAAAAAATAAAAAGCCTTAAAGCTGAAATTAACTTGTGCTTTATTTATATTATTCTTGGTTACAAAGTGAGCCATGGGCTTATTTTGTTTTGGGCCGAGAGCCGTAGGCCCAAATAACATACAGCCCTTGGTGGGTCCAATCTCATTCATTCATTCGAGATTGGTGTGGCGAGCTCGTATGGCCTCAGGGGAGGTCTGACCTAAGGCCTCACCCAACTTATACACCACCATCTCAAACAACACGAACAAGGCCCCTTCGTACACGCTCCCCATAGGAAGCGACGGCAGAGATTCCATCACTTCACCAGCATCCGCATCATTTGCCATGGTCTGCGCTGGCACGTAACCCACCACGCTAGCGTGCTTCACACAGGATCCCGTCTCCGGCTGGGCAGTTAGCAGCAGGACTCTAGCACCGTGCGATCTTGCCACGGAGCAAATGGCTTCCACTGTGGAGAATCCACCTGGACCCGCAGAGGCGATGAGTAGATCGGTGGTGGAGATTGGGGGAGTCGTCATGTCGAAGACCATGTGAGCCGAGAGGCCGAGGTGGGCCAGCCGCATGCACAGAGCCTTCAGCATTAGGCCCTCTCGGCCCACTCCGTAAAGGAAGACGCCGCCGTTTCTGGCCGCTGCAGAAGATAGCTCGTTGACCAAAAGGTCTAAGACTGGCGGGTGTGGGTGGGTTGGTTTAGTGAAGATGGAGGCTATGTGATTGCAAATTTGGGAGGCAAGAGAGGCCATTGAAGAGCTCTGGGACTGCGAATCCATTGCTCTAAGTCTCAGGCCTCAAGCGTCAAGGATAAGAGGGTTGTGATAAATTTAAGTGGTATATGTGAGGTGAGGTTCTTGCCAATCAGTGACACGTCAGCATTAGGCAACAAATTTGAACCTCATATTTCCTTCCCTTTTGTTTCTGGACTTTTTATGATTTTGTCTGGTTGTGAATGTATGCATGTATCATACCATGAAGCAGTGATGAAATAAACTCAAAACAGAAAAAATTGTTTATGGAAGGGGATATGAAATGGTTTGCGTAACGACGTTACAGTGAAGGGGAAATAAAGTGAACTATTTACAAACAAAAAGCATATTGAAAGAATAGCAGTTATATGAGCATTCTGTATCAACCACCAAAAACTGTAATCCAATGTCAGTGAAATCATCAATGGAAGTCTTAGCTTGGCTTTGATCTAAGCTCCATTAGCTGGAGGTCCAGAAGATTTTTTAGTCGAAGATGCAGTACCATCTTCGTCGATATCTATTTCCTTCACACCAGCAGTTAATGAGGAACCGGATCTCTTCTCCTTATCCATCTCAGCATCCTCATCCTCATCCTCATCGTCGAGAAAGGAGCCTTTCCGCCTGAGTTCTTTTACTTTCTGGAATTCATCATAATGAGCTCTTCTGTGCTCCCTAAAACTCCTACCATTTTTATCTGTCTCAGAATCTGCAAAGTCCCAGCAGAAAATGGCGGAACAGACAGTCAGATGAAAATAGTATAAATGTAAGTGAGGGGTAGAACAATTTGAATATATCCCAGTCTTTTTTTAACTGGGCAAAGGGGACGCGAGAACTAGAAGAGGATTAAACAACGAAATTCTAAGCATTAACAGAACATAATGAGGGAAAGTTTAGACGCAATAATAACCCATGACTATGTTCATTGGGACCCAATCTCATGTGTCTTACATGAAGTAACAGCGTGAGATGATGCAACTTCAACATACCCCTCTTCCAATTCATTGTATTTCATTGGTAGCACAAAACATGACATCTACTCTCTTTATATACCTTCCATACAGAGGATAATATATGTAACAGAACTTAACACTAAATTTAAATTGGGGGGAAAAGCTTACTAAAGTTGAATAGTTTAAATAATAAGGTGACAAGTTTATATTTAATCAGCCAACTGCAAGGAAATATAGTGAATAGTTGTAATAAAATCTGATTGAAGGGTTAACTCTGGGAAGAAAAATAAAAGAGAATGAAAGAAGACCTTCATCATCTTGTTCCATAGCATCTGCCTCATCCTCAGATGATGTCCAGCCAGTAGATCTTGGGGTGTTCTTTCTACTTGATGATGCCACATCGGTCAAAGCAGTTCGTATTGCTTCTGCATGAACTGCATCACCAACACAATCATTGAAGCTACCCCGTATAGGAGACAGAGATCCTGCCAAGATTAAAGTTGCCGCACAAAATGATAAGTTTCCACATTTAAGATACATACATATATATATATATATATTTATTTATTTATTTCAGAAAACGAGTATTGAAAACCAACACAAAGGATTGAAAACCAACAAATCAAACATTAGCATATGAAAAGAAACAATCATTGAAACTCAAGACCACTTTATACGTAACACCAGTGACGCTTTGTTTTTAAGGAAAAGAAGACAAACACATTAACGTTTATGCATATACAACTGACAGGCCTCCATAGAAAGGAAAATATGATAGAAACCAGCATACCATCCTCATCATCAGTCATCATAGGGTGGTATGGCGTCTTCGGCTCAGTAATTTTCTGCCTTACAGGTTTATTTGCTTCGATTTCTCCCAGATTAGCCTCATCCCATCTAACTCGGCCCCTGCCACTCAATCAGCAAAATCTAAAATCAACTTCAAACATATGCTAAGAAACAAAAAGTATACAAGATTTTACAAAACAGAAAACCATCCAACTCCTAAATGCAATGCCTTAATAAACATTTCATTCTTAATATCCATTGTTAAGACAAGAAGAATTTAACATTAAGAAGACAGATTGAATTACTTCATTTTGCAAAACAGCTGATCTCCGCAAAAGCAGCACAAGCAACTGCTCAATTGAATTGAATTCTCTGAAACAAATTGAAAAACTTATTAAATTCTCAACATTAAGCAGAATAAACCCAAAACAATTGCATTCTAGGTCCTCAAGCTCAACCCCTTATTAACGACAATGAATTATATTTACACAATAACCTAAGAACCTAAGAAAGAAAGGAAATTTCAATTCCATTTCTCCGAAATAAATCCAAAGCTCAAAGATGGGCCATAATATACTAATCAAAGACGCAGAATAAGAAAACTATCCAATAGAGCCACAGATCAATAACGCATTAAAACCCTAACGAACCTAATCTTCAAAAACGCAGAAGGTGCCCAAGAAAATATACGGATCACCTTGCTTACGCTTCGTTTGGTTGCTGAGAATATTCGAGAAAGAGAAGAAAATGAACCTCTGGAACCATAGAAATGATCAATTAAACAGCGAGTTTGTTTACGGATCGGAACTTTCAATTTCTTTCATTTTCCTGCCGTTTCCGGGATTTCATGGCCAATTTTGAGCGTAAAAAATTAAATTTATAAGTAGGAGAAAACAAGAAACAGAAAATTGGATTTGGTACCTCACTTCCTCTGGGAGAAAATAGGCGTGCGAATCAATCGAAGTGCTGAATCCAATTTTTCTTTTTTCGTTCTTATGTTGTCCTGTTTTACTAAATTACCCTACTGAATATGATGTAATAGCAATTGAAGCCACCGAAGGATGTTTCTTGCAGTGTGAAGATCTTGGACCGTAAATCCAAATTACACCCCCCTACGATCTAAACACGTCAGCAGCAGAGGTACGGCGAGAAGGATTTTCAAAGAGTATAGCCGGCTATACTCCTGAATAAATTCTATTAATTAAATAGTATAGCCGTCCGGCTGTACCATTTTCGAATAATATTATCGCCGCACGGCTATACTTTTCAAATATGATTAAAATAGTATCGCCGTACGGCTATACTATAAATTCGAATATTTAAATATTATAGCCGCGGCTATACCTGTTGAATATGATAAATTCGAGTATTTAAAAAGTATAGCCGCCCGGCTATACGGTTATATTAATCTTAAAATTTTGTCAAGTTAACTTTACTGAAAAACAAAGGAAAAAGAAATTGCACCATGTAGGTCCCAGCCTATAGACCCGAAAACTTGGCCAAGGGTAATTTGGGCGAGGGAATGACAAATTTGTCAATTACAAATAACAAATTAATATGGAAAAAAATTTGGGAAGGGAAAAATAGAAAGAGAGTTTTGTAGCTTAAGACGAAGCTGTTCTTGGCCCAAAAAAATAGAGAAGCAGCTGTTCTTGGGGGCCGAATAGCTACACGGAGTAGCAGGAGTTCTTGATAACAGTGAAGACATCGCCAGCATCCCACAAGAGTAAGAATTTGAATTTTTGCAATCAAAAATATATATATATATATATATGTATATCAATATACTATGGATCCAACTTTGTTTTTCTCTGTCAATATCTGATTATCATGCGTGAAAATTCTTTGTTGATCTGGGTCTTTTACGGTTTCTTTGTTCTATCTGAATTTTAGTGCTGAAAGGAAAATGGGTTATGTTAATTTTCATTTTTGTTTTTAGATCTAATGGTAATATTGTAACTTGATGATTGAGCTACTGAAGAAGGCTTGATGTAGTTTGCTGAAAATGAAAAGGGTGATTTATGATTATAATTACTTCAAAAAGAGTTGGGATTTTACAATTGACGAAAAGTTGAAGACTTAGAACCTCAATTGGTGAGGGCAATCAGAAGTTGAGCCAAATGTATTGAGTGTATGCGAATTCTGTTGAGATTGCCAAATGGATCCAAGTGTTTCAAATTTGCAGCAACATTGACCCTTTTTGTTCTGTTTCAGGTGGTAAAATTCACAAGGTTGAGGAAGATCAAGTTTGATAATGAAATTCTTTCGGTAGGGATAAAATAGTAAAGAGATCAAGGGCAGAGATGTTTTCGTTGTTTTATGGGCTCTGGAAATATATGTTCAGTAAGACAGAGTTTCATGTACTCATTCTTGGAATCGACAAGGCTGGGAAAACGGTAATGCACCTGTGAAATCTTCTTTTCCTTATTGGGCTTTATTTTGTGATTTTGAGCTGCTTTTATTTTTTGTGGAATTATCTTCTTTTAACACATCTTCAGATACATTAGCTGTAATTCTTATTCTGATATCAATTTGTAGACTTTGCTCGAGAAGTTGAAATCACTTTACTCAAACTTGGAAGGTCTCCCTCCTGATCGAATTGTTCCAACTGTGGGACTTAATATTGGTCGTATTGAAGCATCAAATACCAAACTTGTGTTCTGGGATCTGGGAGGTCAGGTATGTGAAATTCATCCATGCCATTTATATTCTTTCATCTTTCTTATTCTTTATTTTAACATAGATTTGTTCTCCTTTTACTTGACTCTGGTTTCAAGTATTGTTCCACAAAATGTAGGATTGGGGAATACTACACGCTACTAGCATCATATTCAATTTTACATTTTCCAGAGAACATTATTATTGTTAATATTACTATCATTAACTGGTTATCACATATCAGGATTGTTGTAGTCTCCAGCTGTTGCAAATCAATCCTTTCTGTAGTATCACATATCAGGATTGTCAGAATTATTGATGCAATAGTTGTTTGTTTTTGCTGTCAGCCTGGTCTTCGCTCAATCTGGGAAAAATATTATGAAGAAGCACATGCCGTGGTCTATGTAATTGATGCCACTTGTCCATCACGTTTTGAAGATTCAAAATCTGCATTGGGTAGGTGATATTAAATTGCTAAATCTTGTGAACGTATTGTATTGGGTTTGTAACTATGATTTCCTATGATCGTATAGCTATTAAAGTTGAGGAATAACAAAAATACTTGAGACGCTGATACTATTACTTTTAACTTTTTAAAACCAGAAAAAGTTCTTCGGCATGAGGATTTGCAAGGAGCTCCTCTATTGATTTTGGCCAACAAGCAGGTGAGAGGCGAATTATGCATCCTTTCGAACCAAAAGAATAGTATCATTTCCCCCAAATTCATAAGCAACCTAATCATGAATTTTCATAAATTTGGGCTTCCATGTGTCTGAAGTTATGGAACCACAGTTTTCATGTTTTGGTATTTTCTTCAAATTGCGCACACCCTGAAATCTATGTGCTTAGTTCTCCTTAGGTTACATATCTTCTATAGAAGGGTTGTAATTTGTTGTGCATCCTTCTTGTTTCTTTAACGAATGGAATTACTTCCTTCTATGTTTGATATGACGATCTGCTATTCCTCTGTCATCTCTCGTTTTCTATTGTAGCTACCTTCCATTTACCAAATTCTTTCTTTGAAGTCTTGTTGTACTCTGAAGTCTAGTTTTTGTGTGCCTGTGAGGAACCTTGGGTGCTGGCAGAAGCATTGGCATGCATTGTGTTGTGTTAACCTGGTTCTTCATTAAGAGAGAAAATAAATTGCTCAATAAATCTCTCTGTCTTCACTCTATTGAAATATGTTGGCAATGGCAGGATCTTGCTGATAGTGTATCAGCTGAGGAACTTGCTCGATATCTAGATCTTAAAAAGTTGGATGAAAGGGTTTATATGTTTGAAGCCGTTTCAGCATATGATGGGTAAGTGGATCTTTTCTAAGCTCCATTGCTTCGCCAAATATTTAAATTTTAATTGCTCTGATACATTAGCGATATGGAAAGAAAATTTGGCACAGTACACATTTCTCTGCACGGAGATGTGGTAGATTTACAAAATGCAGTAGCTCTTACAGTTTGATATTGGATTGCAGGATGGGGATTAAAGAAAGTGTGGAGTGGTTGGTGGAGGTAATGGAGAGAAGCAAGAGAACTGAAATGTTAAGAGCCCGTGCAGGAGCAACAGGCCCTGCTTCTAACTAGAATGGCATGTATCAACAGCCGATGTGGCGGTTGGGTTGCCCTGCTTCTTTCAGTAACAGTTGTGTAAATAAATCAGGCGTTTTGAATTCATTCTGATTATTTATTACATGATTCTAAGTCAAAGATCAAAGTTTTCACATGTCTTCTTCAGGCTAGTGCTTCTAATTGTTCTTTCTTTTTTAGCTGGAAATTCAGAATGTAAGATAGAACTTATTATGTGAATCTTGCATTTTAAATTGCTGTTTCCTACATACGAATCCAGTTGAAGCCTAGGAATTTTATCCCTCAACATGGCCCGCGTTGCAATTGTCTCGTACTCGATAAGAATCAGAAGCATGATTCAGGGACTTGAATAATGATAATAATAACACATAAATAATAGGGACATTGGATCATTTGAATACATTTGTTTCACTTCTTTGACATCCTTTGCAAGGAATACAATTGAAGAAGCTGCTTCAGTTTTTCAAGGCACGGAGTTGAACTGAGCTGCTATTTGCTCGCTGCTCTTATTCTTCCTCACTGCTGGTTGTGGTTCTTTGCAAATCAAAAGGAAAAAAGGCAATGTGTCATGTTCGATAATTCTAGTACACCAAAAATCCAATTTATTTATTTTTTCTTCCAAAAGTAATGTAAGAAAAGAGTGAAATACTTACTGGAAATGAGGGCCATAGGTCTGGTCTTGAACAGAATCCGGTGGCGAATAATTCCGATGACTTCCAATTCTACCCCTGCGTCTCGGGAGGGCTTGAGTTTCCTTAAGACCAAGAGTGGCTTCTTCAAGGGCTGTTTGGTCCCTGTCAATTCGTGATACCCAATAGTAAATGTGTAGGTTTGGTCCTGGGAGGAGGCGGAAGGCCGGCAGAGGAGGCCGATGTGGAGGTTGTGGAGGCGATCTTGAAATTGGGACTGAACCTCCACCATCCCTTGCAATTCGACCACCGCCCATTCTGGGCAGTTGCTCTCTCCGCAACTGCACTTCACCCGAATCTGCATTCTCTCTCTCTCTCTCTCTCTCTTCTTCTTCACTTTCTTCTTTTCCCTCACTTTTCAATTTAACCCTTTTTTTGGGCGGCTAACAACTCCCGCTCTCCAAACAAAGTCCTCACTATAGAATTCTACCTGAATCTGAAATAGCAAAGGAAATTTGTTTTGGGCCAGAGTGCTTAGAGCCCATTGCCCACAATAAAAGGGGCATGGATAGGGCCCAACCCTGAACTCATCCATCCATCCATCCATCAGTGAAGGGCCCAACAATAAGAATAAATACGAATATAATAATAATAATAATAATAATAATAAAAGGATTATAACAGCTTTGCTTTAATGGATTGTAATAGAAATCAATTCAAAATGTGTAACCTTTAACACGAATATTACAGGAGCATACACTGTTAATAAGAAAATACACTGACATACACAGAAAACTTCGCCGAGGCAATCTCTTTCTAAAAGGGATTGTCCTTGTGGCTGCGTTGTGATAAACTAACAGAAGAAAAAAGAAAAACAAAGGGTTAGGGGCGTGGAACTAGGTTGGTGGTACAAACAAAGTGTTGTATAAGCTGTACAAGGATTGAAGTCAGTGCAATTGTGCAGGTGCATTGCCCATGTTTCACATTGATTGCCTATCCATGCCCTATTGGTTTGTATCTGATCCACCAGAACTATGTAAACTTGCATTCCTGGTGTGTGCAGGCTCTGAAAATTGCTGGCACAAAACATCAGTTTGGCAGAAGTTATCTAGACCAACATTTTTCAAGGTCAAGTCACTGTTTCCTTGGGTTCTTGATGAGCTTAGTTGCTGCTGAAAATACTCCTCAATATGAGGATCATAGTCCAGTGGGATTGCACCTGTGAGAGTTTTTATAGCAAATTCAATGCATGGGTCTGGCCATAAACCCCCGAAAGGCAACTCCACTGGGGATCCTGACTTCTGTTCAGCCTTATCATCCTTTCCAACTTTCCCCCCATGTTGTTCTGGTATAAAAAGGTTGCCATGAGCCAAAACAACATTGCTCCTCTTATTGTCTTCTTCTTTATTTCCAGAACGATCTTTGAGAGTATCCAAGTCACCTGAAGATTGCTCACTATTGCTCCTGGAATTTTCAAAAGCTATTCCAGTGAGAGTCTCTATTGCAAATGCAATGCATGGATCTGTCAAGAAATCCCCCAGCGGCAAGTCTGGTTGAAGTCCTGGCTTCTCTTCTGCCTTATCAGTGGTTTCAAGTTTTCCTGCATGTTCTTCTGGGAAAACAGAAGCACACGTTTGCTTTTCGTCACCACTAATCACTGTTTCCACATTTTGAACATGCTTTTCTGGCTCAACCTCAGGATAACCAGGCCGTCGGAATACAGAACCAGTGGAATTACCTGAGGAAGAACCTTCAGTTGTACTGTGTACTCCTTCCCTTGATTGTTTAATTGTAACTCGACGTGCTCGAGTACTTGTTTTCAGTTCTGGCACTGGATCAACTTCAACTCCAGCTAGTCGCTTTGAAGCACGACGAGGCAAGTTCAGCTCTTTCTTCTTCTTGGACTTGCCCAGGCTAAGTTGGGTCTTTTTACTTTCATGTTTAAAGAGCCCACTTTCCAGGCATTGCTTATCTGCCAGGCCAAAACCTGCTGGAACTGAAATAAATTCACTTTTGTAAGAATCACCGTCCTGTTCTTTCTGCTCCGAACCTTTGGCTTCTGTTGGATTTAAGCTGCCTGATTCAGTGTCCACCTCAGCTGCAGTAAGTTGTGTGATTTCAAATTAGATAAAAGCTTATTATATAGTAAAGTAGAATTAAGGTTGGCCCTTCGAAATCAATCTAACTTCCTAAATCATCACCCCTAAAAAAAAGACTTAGTTTAAGAGCCTCAAATCTTATTTCCACATAAAAGAAACAGTGTAAACAAGAGATGAAAGTTGCACATTACTCTGATCAGAAGTTTGTGCAGGAAAGGTCGGGCTTTCTCCCTTACATGCTAGATTAAGTATCTGCCCATCCTTCATGATCTCATTCAAGTGCGAGCTCTGATTGAAGTTACAGACAATGTAATTTTGCCTAACAATCAAAGTTAATGATGGGCATAATAAAGTACAAACCCAAACAATCCCTTTTTCAGTATAATACTTACAGAGGCTTTTTCATCTTCCAATTCCTTATCACTACCATGACTTGGCTCTAGAATTAGCCTTCTTGGCTCCTCATTTTCAAGATAGCGATTCACATCCTTCATTGAGCGGAATAATTTTTCACTTACAGGATCAATATAGTACTGCATACATTGAATATCGGGTCAAAGAATGTACTGATATTTCAGTGGCCAAATTGGAATTCAAATATCATGCAAATCCTCTGCAATGCAGCCAAGCAAATCAAGAAATAGTGAAATTTTTTTAGAGATTACCGAGTCTCTCCTGATCTTATGATCCTTTTTTGTCATCCGAATTTCTTTGATCCATCCTTGAGGTAGTCCTTCTGCTATAGTCTTCTCAACCACAACCTAATTGCTTGAATAATTGAAGTTTTTATATCCAAATTAATAAAATATGATAAAATCAAACATCTAAATGTAAATAATAAAGAGCAGTTTGTGTCAACGAACATCATTTGCTGATCGCTTCAAAGTCTCTTCAACTTTCTGCTTGACTTCATCGCTGATTTGAGAGGTGTTGAGATAGCGAGATACCTCTGCCTTGGAATTGAATTTATGTCCACTTGCGGTATCGTAATAATACTGCAATAAGCGCAAATTATATACATCTGAACTAAAGTATGTTGAGACACATCACAAAATATAATCAAGTTGATATTCTCTCCATATACAACTGTTTCAAATTTTAGCTTAAAATTAACACTTATCCCCAAACCCTCGCAGTCATTTTCTTATGTTTGCTATATGCCTTAAAGAAACAATAGAAAATCCACGGAAATTTCGGGTACTGAGGCCCCATCTCGTTTCAGATTCTATATCCTACAATGTTCTCAAACGACATCTTTCCTTTTTGGCAAGACTTGAAAATTGAAATGCTACCTTCTAGAACATACAAATTATGAGACACTAATCAACATAACAATCACAATCGAATGAACCCTCTAACTTTAAAACACATATAAATTTTCAAGTTTACATCTTTGATCACAAGGCGCAAGACCACATTTCTACCCTATTGACTTCCAAAATCCACCCAAACCCACTGAAAGTTTAGAAAACTTATTAATCAGCTACGTGGATTACCATGTAATGCAATCCACTTAACATTAAAACTAACTTTCCAAACTTTGACAAACAAAGAAAACAAGTTCAGGAACATAAACCTAAACAAGCTATAACTTTAACATGGAAAATTACTCGAGGATCTCGCAGTCGTGAAGATAGAAAGAACTCAAAGAAATAGCAATTTTTTACCTTGTCTCTTTTACCGTTATTTCTAACTTTGACCTCAACGGTCCAACCAGTTGGGAGCCAGTCCTCGGATTTTTGGTCCGTCATCTCGTCGGAATACGACTTCACATTCACTCACTCTCTCTCTCTCTCTCGCTCTCCGTGAGTCAAAAGCTTGGAAATTTAGAGTGCTCTCGGACAAAAGGTCTTCTCAGACCCACGTGTTGCCCAAACTCTCTTGCGATGCGAGGGAGGCCTAGGGGGAGAGAACATGTACATCTCCGTTGAACGTGATTGTTTAATCATCTGCTCTGCTATACTTAAGTACTGCTCAGTAATGTGCTTAATCAAGTTGTACCTTTGGGATGAAAGTACCCTCTTATTTTTCCCCAAATGACTCATTTAGCCCAACGTACAATGTTTAGAATCGAAAAGTTTGAAGAAGCTTCTGGATTGGGGCTGCATAGGATTGAGTTTCATCAAGTGGAATGTGCACTTCTGTTAACGGAGATTCCACTATTGTAGTAGCCAGTGTACCATCAGTTAACCTAACACCTTCACTTAGAAATTGACACGTGACTCGGTGGATTTCTTATAGTTGTTGCTTGCTGTTCACTTTGCTCTTTAGCTTTGTTTTGTTTGGAGTGGAGGTGACATGGGAGTGACTGGCTACAGAACCACTGGATCGTTGCTTTGTGAATCTCTGACACTTTAAAATTTGGGATTTTTCTAAGGTACCCCTGAACAGTGTGAAATTTAGCTGTACCCCTTTTTTTGCCACACAGAATGAGAATTGGCACTGTTTGTATTCTTTCATTTGTCTTCTGAATCTGATCTTTCAAATTTTCTTTCCTTACAAGAAAAGCAAACAAGAGTAAAGACATAGAAAAGGAAACAAACTTCTGTCAATGGAAAAGTTGGAAAACTTCCTTTCCATTGTTATTGCATGTTCCCAAAGGATAAGGAAAAACTTGTGCCAGCCAACATAGAATAAGCTAAGCATACATATAATTGAGTTTGGTAATGAAAGGAAACTTGGAAACCTCCACAAGCATGTATTATAATAATTATACATCTACAAATTACAAAGAAACGGAAAGTTTTATATATCATACAATATCCAAACTAGTATGTATCTTCTGTATCAAGTGACAGCAGACTTATTGTATTAACTAAGCTAATTGTGAAGCTGATTGGGTCCTTCATAGACAACATGATGCGAAACTGCGTGGATTGCGTTGATCTTGTTCTTCCTCATGGACTCGATGGAGCTACGAAACATTGGAGCATACCTTCTGCTGTGTATTAACCTTTGTTCTGTATCTCCATTAGAAGCTTGATTAGTACTAATAATACTAATAGATCGACCACAACTGCAACTTTGAATTATTCCCAAGAAGAGAATGAAAATAAGAATTGGGATTATGCCCTTTTGAGCTTGCATGATTTGTGTGATGAGATTATTATGAGCTATAAAATAAGGCTTGCATATGTAGAAGAAGAGCAGAGGAAGTGGTATGTGCTTGGAACTTTGTGGTGTTGGCGCTTGTCAACAAGTGCTTGAAAACTGCTCTATTAATAAAGGAGCTGGCTGGCTTTTGCCTGCAGGCTGCCTGCAGTGGCCAAAATATTCCTGAACTCATAATTAAAAATGCTACCACCAAGTCAGAATTCTTAATGAGATCGGTACTGTGTTACATACATGTACTTTCCCACGTTTATCCAAAATGACAAAAGTTGACTTTTAAAGAAAGTCGCTTTCTGCACTATCTAAGCTGGCCGCCTGGCCCCCATGTGTAGCTCTAGCTCGAATCTTAATTTGCACAGTTGACTTATCCTCGTAGAGAGCTTCGTTTTAAAAAAAATGCATAATCTAATCCATGTCTTGCTGGAATGGCTGGCAGGCATTGCTATGGCATGAATGATGAAGTTGTCCTTCTCTTTCCTCTCAAAGAATGCATTATTTATGCAACTGGTGTGAAATATCTGAGTAGCCATCAATACTCTAATCTTTTTATTTTTCAGAGATTTGAACATTGGTATAGCGACTTCTACAGTCTACTTTGTTTCTGGGCGAAATTTATGCGAAAATTATGTTAGAACTTTCAAGCCATTTGGACTTTTTGTTGTTGTGATTGCATTGTTTAAAGTATTAAATTCCAAAACTCCCACATGATAGCAGAAGAATTTCTAGTATCTACTGTTTCCTCGCATGAAGACAACATTCAGGCAAGACTTCTAGCATTCATGCACTGCACCATAAAACAGATAAATCTAAAAGGCTCACTGTAACTTGGCAATTTTATCGAAATTATTTGATTTTAATACAGCCAAATTCATGTTGTCAGCAAGCAGGCTACACCAGTAAACTAACATTATAAATGACACTAAAATTAATCCGGAAAAACAAAGTCAATTGCCATTTCTTATTGCATATGTATGAGATTTTACCTGTTTCACATTTAAAAACTTTTTGTACTTTCTTATTTCAGCATCTGCAGTTGACTAAATACAGTCTGGTATTATTCATGTTATGTAAGAGAGTTCTGAAATTATGAGTAAGAAAATTGCATGGATTGACCAATAAAATAAATATAGATAAGAGTTCTGAAATTATGAGTAAGATAATTGATCAAGTTATGTTGTTTAGTGGTGCAAGTATGTCTGTCAATAATATAGTCTTGAAAGGTTTGGTTTTGCCAACTAAGCAGTTTAGATGACATGACAGACATTGCTCGATAGCCCCATTTTCATCCCAGACAAGTCTTCCGACGATCCGATAGGCTAATTTTCTTTGATTTTCTATAGCAATGACCTTTTTCGATCGAAAACTGTCATGCAAATAACATCCAATTAATGTAAGTTGGATTGGATGATGGCTAGCTGCAGGGAAGACAGAGTACTTGGAAATCTGGGAGCTTCCACTTTTGATATTCATTTTTTTTCTGAGTCTCTTCCAGCACATAATCAAATGCTCATCCAAAGATTGAGCATTACAGTGATTCAGCAGAGTGGCTCCGCTTTTAGTAGCTGTGAAGATCATGTTGCGTACATATTTACATAACAGAGAATCTTAATTACCATATTCCAGGTAAAACCCAACCAACACCTTGAGATGTACTGGTTTAATTTTTCTGAGTTTGATGTAAACAAAATTATCAGACATTCGAAAAAGGTATGATATTTTACATCTCTGATTTACAACACTATGACATAATTATGTGACAAACTAAACCACTAATTGGTTCATCAACCGAACCAACTGCATAATTTGGACTTTTTCCTTCATGTTCTTTCCAAGAACCAACTGTGTCTCTCAGCCTTGAAAGTTGAGAAGAAAGTAGAATATATGTTTCATTGAAACAGATTGGTGTCTGGAAAATCCAACTCAGTTGTGAAGTGGATTTGGTCCACTAGGGACAGCTTGATGAGCAACAGCATTTATTTGGTTGATCTTCTTATATCCAAATCCTGCAGAAGAACGAGAGCCAGAAATAAGGCGCTGGGCAAACAGAGAAGAAAACTTTGCTGTTAGTCTTGACGCCGAATCTTCACTTCTAGGACAACGCGGGCTGATGCACCGGCAACTTGAAACATGAACCAGTGCTAGAATAACAACAAAGCACAGAAACACAGGAGAGAGTTTATGAATTCTCATGACTGAAAACTTGGGTACAAGTGCATTCAGGAGGAGTTTTTATAGCAAAGAAATGAGGGAGGTTCTTTTAAGTTGTTTGTATGTGTTGGCAAGCAGGTTTCAACTAAAAGGTTTTTTTATAGGGAAGGATCATCAGGCACACCCTTCTGCATTTTTTTTTCTCTTTTTTCCAAGGATAGGATCAAGGCAACCACTGCTAAGAAAGATCCAAAATTAACAATCAATCAATCATATCACACGACTGAACACTCATTTTCTAATCATTGATAGGCTTAAATGAAAGAAAAATATACAAGTGAAATAACAGAAAATCCATTCAAAAGGACAACACATTAGAAACAAGGAGCTCAGCACATCTGGTAGAAACTGATTGATGATGTTAAAGCACACATGATGGCATGATGATGAGACATCAAGGCCATTCGGTATATGGCATTGGCAGCTCCTAATTATCTCCCAACTATGATGCATAGCTTTCTGATGCTACATGGCTCATAACAAGTTGAAATTCTAGGCTTTTAGTCGGCCAGGCATGCATATTTATCAAGTACTTTATGAGAAAAGTTGAACCGTGTTAGAAAGGCAAGTCAAAAACACTGTAGTGCCCAAGGGACCAAGGCATTTAATCAATCGTACACATTGTTGTAAAACAGTGCACTGAAAAGATATATCAATGCCCCAACTTCAACTGCCAGCAGGAGACAGCGAATGGTGCAGCTATAGAACCTGTCCTTTGTGATGCAATTATAAAGGACGCCAATCTTGCATTGCCAATATTTGTAGGGGAACTTCTATAATGAGGGGCTATGGTGAGGGGTTACAATAAACCTTTCTTAATTAAAACTGATCAAATAGTTACTAAGGACCCCCTTACTAGAGTCTTTCTGTATTTGTAGGGATACTGAATTTGTCTTCTCAAAATTTCCAAGTGCCTAATAGGTGCCCTTGATTTTCAAGATATGTATCACAATCTGATGAAGTAGCTTATGCTTTCTCCAAAGGGGACATTGATTTTCAAGTGACATGGAGGGTAGAAAACTTGGAACATGTTTCTCCTATCTTTTAAACATCCAAATCTCTATATGGACGTGATTTGATTCTGTGTTCCAAAGCGATGGGAAAGAAAGGACTTCGAGAAAAAGATAGCATGCTTCTGTTTTTATATGGCATGTTTTGTGAAGCTTGTAATGTTCCTAGACAAGGCGCTAGAGTGACAATTAACAATCTTGATCGAATCGCTGATCATTAAAATTAATAAAAACGACTTCAATTTTGATGGGATTTTTCTTCATTTCTCCCTTACCTAAGTCGTTTCCCACATCAAACAACCCAGCATGCGATCTTATATTACCAACAATTTGGCCATAATAATTTTTTTCTGCTGGATCACTTCCCTTGCAGCCTTCAGTTCCATCATTCTACAAATTAAATGATTGAACCAGAAAAACAGGCGTACCATCTCTGGCAATAAGAACAGAATTACAAAATTTGCAGTCTTTGGGGCGGGAAAAGAAAATTTGATGGATCCAAAAAGCTGTTTCGCATGTACGAATCATCATCTATATATAATTCCTTAACCGCATAAAGTACTGAAAGAAGTCTGACATTGCTCATTTATTACATCACAAATTAAACATCCACGAAAATCTGATTATAACGGGAGTATCCTATGCAGTAAACTTGTGAGTGCACAAGATTCATCAACTATGCGCAGCCAAACCCCAACCTTGCAACTACCCTCCAGAGATATGGTTTACCCAACGTTTTACTCTTGCTTAGCTTCAGCACTAGTTGAGGTTTCCTCAGATTTAACATCTGAGCTTTCAGATGGAATATCTTCAGCGGCTTTAGTGGTTTCACCAGTGGCTTCTCCATCAGTTTCTGCCTTCTTAATCGTTCCAACCGTGACATACTTGCTCATGAACTTGTATTCCCAATCCTGTAAGGCGTCAAGTTCAAATGGACCAAGACCAGAGATATCACCAGTCAGATCTTTGTCTTCAAAAGACATTTTTGCAAGAGCTCTGCTAGCATCTTTTCCTGCGAACAGTGCGTAAGGCCCACCAGGTCCATAAAACATCCTGCAACCATGGTTCAGAAGTAAACAAACTAAGATCCATAAGCAAGAAAACTATTTAAGACAGCATAGGCAAAGTACTAGTAGCTATCAAACTATTAGTTGCACATAACCCATAATGACATGGATGGTTAAGCAACAATGGAAAAAGTGTATTTTTTACTAATATTCAACCAATCTGATGTCCATCAAAAAGTTGTTTTAGGCCAAAACATGATTTTTACCCGAAACCTATAATCAAAATCCTAAAATGCACATATAACAATAAAAAGCGAGTAAGAAAAGAAGCAGTAAACTGGCTTGGTATGTTCCCATTCCCCACTTGGTGAGGTTGAAAGAGGTCAAACTTTTTCATAGATTTAAAAACTAAGAATACAACTCTTCAAAAACCAACTTGAACTGAAAAACCGTGGATAGACAAACACATAGCTAAACAAAATCATGTAGAAAATGTGTTGGGACAAAGTAAAGACGCTGTGTAAGAAACAATTCCAAACACTTCTATTTTGCACAGACAGACATCATTACTCTTCACCCCTCTCCCCTCTCCCCTCTCAAGCTAATGCTCCTAAAAAACAAACAATAAAGTAATTGAGAAAATCGCATCTTTAATCACTTGATAAGATTGAACATCAACATTGGTAGCATGTGAATATGATCGATTTACTTAAATTCAAACTCCAATGAAATGCATCTCATAGATAGTAACTACTAGACCACAGAGAACTGCAATCCCCTAATTATTAATTTGCTGCTCTAATTCTACAGGAATTTCATGATCTCAGAATAACTAGAACACACAAGTCTAGAATTCCAAGGTTTTATGTGAGCCATTTGTCCACAAATTACAAATCCACAAAACATCGAAGATCAAGACCACCAAACACGCAGAACATACCAGAAATCACAAAGGCATCCAACAATTTCACATCCCCAAAAACTAAAGTACCCTTTACCCGAGCTAATCCATAAACTGTTGGTTTGATGAAGATCCAAAAATCACCAGATAACCAGTAGCCGATAAGAAGAAACATGCAAACCAGGAGCTAAGGGAAGCTAAAACACCCGTTGACCATACAAAAAAAAGAAAAAAAATACAATAACACCTGCAAAGATAAGCATAAATATTGAAAACCCAGAAGCCAAAAACTAAAACCCAAAATACGAATTAGATAAATAAAAAAAACAGAGAAAACCCCAAATATGGTACCTGCTTTGAGACACGTCATAGATCTGACCCTTGATAGCCATGAGCAAAGGCTTCGTCGAATCGGTGCCGTCGTATTGCTTCAACTCGTCTTCAGTGATCTCGCCCAACTGGACAGGAGGGGCCAGAGGCTGCATCTCCTCCATGTTCCTGGGCGTCTGATGGTTATCAGACGACCCAAAGAGGCCCGAGATGACATGGTATATGGCAACCAGCAGAGCTAACAGTGTGAAGAAGGTCGCAGGAGAGAGCCCTGTGTATGCTACGATTGCCTCTTTCAGTGTTTCCCACAGTTGCAGAGCCATTTTTGGTTTCAATGGAGAGCCAGAGAGAGAGAGAGACTGAGAAGGAGAGAGGAGCGAGGAGAGGGCAAAGGAGAGAGAGGAGATTGAAGAAGCGGAGAAATTTTATCGACTCCTAGTCCGAGTCATAGCGGGGTAAGTAACGTTTCGTTTGGTTTCGTTTGGTTTCGTCCTAATTCGCACTGGTCCCACCATCACCCACCAACTCTTTTTTTTTTAAATTAGGAAAAAAAATCCCTCTATTTCTTTCTATGTTTTTTCTTTATTTATTTTTAGTTTACTTCCGTTCCTTTTAAGAAATTAATTTCATTTTAATTTTCTCAGACTAGACTAATAAACAACAATATTTTTTTCAATGAGCAGCTTCAGTGAAATACATTATAAGGATTAATGACCAAAATGATCCTCAAATTATTGCTCCAGTATCATTTTAGTATCATTTTGGTTTACCAACTAAAATTTTCATTTTAATGGTACTTCAATTCTTCATTTGGTATCAAAACGGTTATTTCGTAACATTTTTCGTTAAATTGGATCACGCGGACGGCAAATGCTCCAAATGTAGGGGTAAATTGGACTTTTTACCAAAAAATAAAAACCCCCAATTCCCTCATCACCCCTCTATCTGTCCCACCCTCATTAACAGCCCTCACAAAAAACCCCAGCCGCCACACACGCCGATTTGCCTAACCTGCAGCCGCACCTCTCTCTCTCTCTCTCTCTCTCTCTCTCTCTCCATGTATGTAGAATGGAAACAAGATGAAGGGCAGGATAAGTAATGGCAGCCCACAAATTGCACAGCACTTGAAGTGAATAAAATTTGAAGGCTAATTAGCATTACCTTTTGCAAATACATTAACTCTCCATCAATAAATAAATAACGAAAACAAATGTAAGCTTGCCACTGCGTTGTGCCAAATTCCAGCACAATAAATTCGAAGAGCAGCAAAGCAAGACAATGGTTGCAGAGGCTCAGAATCAAAAGCCACCAGAGCACCAGGAAACAAAAACGCAACAAACACGACAACATACTGCATTTGCACTCACTCACTGCTTTCAATCAAGCCTACGTTTTGCTTCACAATAATCATGCTATGAGAATTTGGAAGTGGGTTCTGCCGAAATGGAAGAAGGGTTGGTTGAAAGCCCAGAACTTGAAATCGCAGTAGAAGCAAGAGATGGTGGTAGAGAGACGAGGAGGCGAACATGGGTTTGATTTGAGTGGGAGTGAATGGGTAGAAGACTGTGATGGGTTTGAGTCAGATTTTTTTGTGGAAGCCATGGAAGCCACTGTTCCTGCTTGCTGAGGAGGGGAAAGCCAGATTTTTATTTTTATTTTTTTGGGTTTTAGATATTTGGGCATTTCAGTTTTTAATTTTTTAAATATTATTTTACTTTTTTACCCCTCAGTTTAACAGAATATTTGACAAAGACCGTTTTGATATCAAATGAAGAGTTGAAGACCATTAAAATGAAAATTTTAGTTAATGGACCAAAATGATACTGGAGCAATGATTAGAGGACCATTTCGATCACTAATTCTACATTATAATAAACACACAGACCGGAAAGTTTTATTAATTACGGGTTAGAGGCTGGTAAAACTTTCTTTACAATTAATTAACCCTTTATTTATTTATTTATCAAAGAGCAAGGGAGGCCACTTCATCTGCTTTCCACATCCCTTCTTCATATCTATGCCACCTGATGATCCCCTCGTCGTTTCTGGTCCTTTGGCACATGCTGCACGAGTCTTCCTGCACACGCATGTCCGTAGGCATACGCATGCACGTTATAAATCTCTTTAACCTTGAAGCCTTGTCAACAATGGATGCATCAAGTTCCTCAACAATTCTAAAAGGTTGATGAGGCTGATGGGTTTCATCCAATACAACGCAATGCGATATGTTGAGAACTTCCAAGTTGGGTAGGCTCTCCAATATCACCATCAAAGCGTCCTTCGACAACATCGAGCACCGGAGGCTTAAAACCTCCAGTTTTGGAAGATATCTAACCATTGCCGAGGCAAAGGAATTTGTATCACAAGTACCCATCAATTTGAGTTCCCTGAAGTTCTTGCAGTTGTCGTAAATCACCTGCAAGAGAGTGAGGTATTGATACTTTTCTATGTTCCCTATTGTCAGCGATTCAAGATGTTTCCAACACCCAATGGCCTTGCTGATGCCATCAATCTTTATTTTGTTCCAAGATGGCATAACTAATCGTCTCAGCTTCGGGCACCTGTGATCGATAATTAAGAAGAGAAACAATTAGTTATGTAATTATGTAAATCACCATCGTTTTGAAAGAGCATTTACCTACGCATACCTTTCAGCGGTGTAAGTGAAGAGGTCGTCGGGGACATATAACTGGAGATTGAAAATCAAGGTGGTTATGTTTTGGTGGCTGAGACTCAGAGAAACCTTCAAAACACGACTCAATGTCAAATCGGACTGGCTGCAAACATAAACATACGGCTCATCTTTGGTTTTGATGAAATTATGTTTAATCATTGACAAATCAAGTGTATGCCAAAGGTGGGGATCGCAGAGAACCGAACGCCATGCACTGCAAACGGCACTGCAATGGACCTTCCCAACGGCGGAAGATAAATCAGAGACGTCGTTGAAGGACTCAAAAATCTTCCACAATATGTCAGTGCTGAGGTCTTCCCATCTCCCCAAAGTCTTCCCATCTTCCCATTCCATTGTTTCAGAAGCCAAGCAAATCGTATAAATTCTTAAATAAAGAAATTGGTTAAATGGTTAGCGTATACAGTAACCACAAGGGAGCGGAAAAGTTCTTAATATTGAGTTTTCTACGGTCAACTGGGTGGGCGTTAGATGTATATATAGAATATTGAACAGAAACCAAGTCCTATTTGGATAGGGATGAGAGAATAATAACAAAACCCAAACTCCAAGCCCAAGCCCCAAAAACCTAGTTGGTTTAGAGCACGATGCTTAAGCAGCACAGGCATAGAACTTTCAAAAAAGGCAGAGACATAAGAAAGACAAGTAATTACATAATGTACAGTACTGAGACATATATTATTTAGAAACACCTCTCTTCATCAGGCAGTTTTATTTATGTTTTAACGAAGAAGAGGAGATGGAGCTTTGAGACTACATAAGCGAGCTATATTAGCTTCTAACCCACAAATACAATTAGAGTCCCATTCCCTTGCTCTCATCATCAATAAGCAAGGGACCTCACCTCATCTTCTAGCCATAGCCCTTTTTCATACTTATACCACCTCATGAGTCCCTCGTCGTTTTTGGTCCTTTGGCACATGATGCACGAGTCTTGCATGCAAGTTAAGAACATCCGTAAACGAGACGCCTTCTTGAGAATAACTGGATCGAGTTCTTTAAGAAGTCTCCTGGGTGCACGAGGTGGAGCGGTATCGATTACAAGGCAATGTGAGATATTGAGAACTTCTAGGTGTTGTAGGCCATCCAAGATAATGATTAACGCGTCCTTTAAGAGCATTGAGCACCGGAGGCTTAAAACCTTCAGTTTTGGAAGATATGCAACTAGAGTCGAAGCAAAGAAGATGTCGCAAGGCCCCATGATCTTTAGTTCATTGAAATTTTTGCAGTTCTTGGCAATCTCCTCCATAAGGTATGGGGGATTCGCTATGCTAGGCATTGTCAGAGATTCAAGGTCTTTCCAGCATTGAATGGCCTTGCAGATTCCAGTTTTTTTAATTCTGTTCCAAGCTGGCATCACTAGTCTCTTCAGCCGTGGACACCTGTTGTGACAAAGAGAAACAACCTCATATCATACATCTAAATCTCAGATTAACTTTAACCCGTGCAGGACATATTGTACAGAGCAGCACTAAACTTTAATGTGTAAAGAAATATTATAATTCCATAACAATTGACAAGTGAACACATCTACCATGTAACTGAGTATCTAATTCAGCGGATGTCAGATTTTCGCATTCCTCCTTGTATTAATAATCAAATGCCTAGTTCTTTTTTCTTTTCTTTTTCAAATTAAAAACAAAAACAAAAAAACAAGAATGCAGTCAAAACAACCAGCAGAAATTGCATCCACACCTCCAACATTTATAATTATGGTAGCACATTAACATTAGCACATGCATCACTCACACATAAATTACAGATTAGTATAAAATTATTACCTAGCCTGGACTATAAAGTATATAATCTACACACAAAAACAGACTCCAACATTCAAAAATTAATTATTGGTGTTAATTATAAAAAATTTGTAACCAATGCATGTGAGTGAACTGAATTGGAAGTAAGTTAGAATTGAGGAGAAGAAACCAATAATATGAGAGAGAGAGAGAGAGAGAGAGAGTTTGCTAGCGTACTTTTTTCTTTAATAGTCAAGACATTATAAGAGCGCTTAAGAGAAATATAAACTTGTTCCTTAAAGGATGCAGTTTTATTTCAAAAAATTTGTTTATGCGGAGCGAGGGATTCAATAAACATGTCTAAATTACATAGTATAGTAAATACATAATTACTTAAGTCTTATACAACATTTAAAACGATAAGCTAAATGTACCAGTTGAATGATTTACCATTTTTATATACGGGCCAATATAACTTTTATAGTAATGGAATGTAAAAGGGTATAGGCAGATGCCAGAGGGAGGTGGGATTGAAGTAAAATCATAATTGGAAAAAAAACAAACATGGAGATAGGGTAGACACGTGTAAATGAGAGTTTAAGAGTTACCTTTCAGCAGTATAAGTCAACAGATCATCACTCACATACAAGTTGAAATGGAAAATCAAAGTCATCAAGTTTCCCCGGCTGAGATTCAAGGAAGTCTTCAAAACATGAGTCAATTTCTTATCAGACCGTCCATCCACATAAACATAAGGTTCTAATGGGATTTTGATGAAGTTAGATTTCATCATTGACAAATCAAGCGTTTTCCAAAGCAGAGGATCACAGCAAGCCAAGCGCCATGCACTACAGACATGCGCAATGCCCGAAGTTAACTGATAGATGTCAAAAGACTGAAAGATCTTCACCAATATGTCAGTATCCAGGTCCTCCCATCTTCTCACAAGGGGCTCACTGTCCTCCATTTCACCAGCTTTCCAAACTTCTCCAAACAACCTTACCCCGTCACAATGTCTACATAAACAAATAAAAGAAATCAATACTCTAATGGTATGCAGGAGGAATTGAATTGACGATGAATTGAAATGAGGAGGAAATGGATTGAGGAGAGTTAGATTCTGGATTCCTATTGAAGTTGTTTACTAAACCATATGGAATTGGAGTAGGAGTGGTACTAATTCCTTATAAGTTGTTTACTAAATTCACATGAATTGGTATAGAAACCAAATTGATTACTAAAATGTCCTCGTTGTTGGGTAAAATTAGATGGCAAATTTGGTAATTTTAAAATTGTGTGAGGAATTAGAATACCATCTCCCACCCAAGAGTCCAATTCCTCCAAAATCAGGAGTTGAATTCCTGATTTTGTGTGGATCCTACTTGCATTTTGATTCCTCCATGTGAAGTAAACATAGGAGTATCCATAATAGGAATTCAACTACTTATTTTGATTCCGATTACGTATTAGTAAACATGTCATAATATTCGATTCGCTAAAACAAGCTGCTATACAACATTTATAATTCCTTCACAACGCCCCTCAATATTGGGTTGTCTATAATCAAATGGATGGGTTGACCAAAAAAATAATAATAATAATAATCAAATGGATGGGCTGGGCTGGGCTGGGCTGGCTTTAAGAGTTTAAAATTCAAGGCCAACGAGTTCTAAACAAAATAAGGGTTGAGTTAAATAATCACCTTGAGGAATTGTAAGGAGTCTCACAGAGGTAAATTTAGACAAAGAGATAAAGGGTCGAAATGAAAGAATAGATAAAGAGCACACATTATTCACAGTAACTTGCATAGTGATCTTAAGAGCACTTTTTTTTTCTTCTTTTTTTTTGGCTAACCGTGAAATAATCAGAGCAACTAGGTTTGGATTGATTTAACAATCCTCTTTGTTTGGGAAAATAAAAAATTGACAATAAGGATAAAGCTTAATATCAATCCTATGTACGAGACAAGCAAATTCTATGTATCAAAAACCACAGAAATGCTAATTTACTTCGCTCATTATCCAATTTCCACCTCACACAAAAATTCAATGCCTAAAACCAAATTTTCATGACTAAAGTGAAGAGATCAACCTTGGTAGCACTGGTAGATCTTGAAATCTCCAAATCCAATTCTAAGTTGGAATAATTCAAGTGCATGGCCGCTAAAAGCTCAAATTTTGACCAAGATTTTGGTGTGTAATCGTATCAGTCAGATCTATCAATCTATCTATCTCATATTCATTTCACTTCCGCAGTTCACTGAGAAACACACAGAAACATGCAACACACAAGCAGCAAACACATGCATAGAAGAGAGAGAGAGAGAGAGAGAGAGAGAGAGAGAGAGAGAGAGCGATTACTTTTGTGCTCTGGTTCTTGAGGAGGGTTTATCAGTCATCTGCAGTTTGTTGGGTCGTCACCTGCAGTAATGTAAAGAAATATTTTGGCTTCTCCCCTAAACAAGTAACTGAGACAGAAAAGAGAAGGAAGGAAGCGGATTCTTAGGTGTCGAAATTACTAAAAAGGGCCTCTTTCCTTTTTTGTTACAGCAAGCTAGCTAACCTCCTCCCACCCTCCAAAGTCTGACTAAGCCAGTCAGTTTTCTGCCCTTGTGCGTAGCTACTAGAACACCTGTCTTCTTGGGCCACGTGATCAAATCACGTGAAGAACTTGTCTGTCTCTCAGCAACCATAACCTGCGGCTTTAAACTGTTGTCTTGTACTCGGCCTCGTTTTCACAACGTTATTTAGATTTTTTTTTTCTTTTTTTGGTTTCTTATCATTTATTTCAGACTGTAACATTTTGGATCAGATTTTTTATTTTATTTTTTTGGGTCTGATTTGGATTGCATTCAAGTGTTGCTAATCTGATCCGTACATCCAAGTTTAATGCAATTGGATTTAAAAAAATACTTTAAAACGCTGCAAGAAAAATGTTATCACCAATTTTTTTTTCTCTATTGCCATATCATAATAATTCGTAGTCTCCTATTTAAGTTATGTTCTTTCTTTCTTCAGAAGCACGCAGATATGTGTATGGTTAATTACAAAAAGATGAAGATGGAGACCTCAAGAAATACAAAATTCTTCAGGCAAAATACTATCTACAAAATTGATGAAATTTGACGTTTCGAATCAGCCTCCGTCACTTGCTGCTGCTGTATCCACTGCGGCATGCATGCCGAATCACTTTCAGGAATGACTGCTTATCTGAGAAATTCACAATAATGCAGTTTATGTTTATGATTCAATGCTATAAATATAAACTACCATATACTAGTGTACCAAAACCAATGAAAACTAATAAATTTCATATTTACCTGCTTATTAACTCTCTTGCAATGCTTCTTGCGTGATTCAAATACTGAAAGCTTTTTACAGGGTCGTCAATATCAATTATTGCAGCTTTCAAATTAATAAAGAATTTCTGATATGCACCACCATTTGTCTCCTCTAAAACCGGACTCCATCCTACACGAAAGCACTCGGGAGATTCCAGCATTTCATCTTGTGCTTCTTTCTTTTGTTCTGTTACCAGTGATTTTAGCAACCAATTTTTTCCACGTCTGTTTCTTGCTCGGCTGTTTACTACTGCCTC